AGTAAGATTAAGTGTGTTATCTGGGACAAAGAATCCCTTTCAGTGTATGTTGATGAAACTCCATCTCAGAACTTGAAAAGATCCTGTCATTTCCAGAAGAGACTGTGACCCCTACGGTCTTCAGGTCTTTATGTTTGCCACCCTGTGAGGAGTCATTATTCTATCTTGTGCAGAGTATACATAATCTCACTTTCATTGGTACATGCTCCTCACATATAGGTCTGATAGCCACTTTACTCTGCCCAAATTTGGGTAAGCAAGCAATAAATCTTGTGACAACTTTGTAAGCATGAAACGACTTGACCTTCATGGCTATTATCCCATTAAAAATACACAAATTAAACCCAGTGATTGTTGAAAGTGAATATTAACCAAAAGCTTTTGGTAGCATGGCATCAGCTGCTTGGATTAGTTTAGGATAGCATACTGCTACAGAAACAGGACCAGAGAACCTCCTCAGCCCTGAGAGGATGTTTGCAATGTAGGATGAACTTTTTCCTCAAGTGAGCAAAGTCCTACAGAAACACAGTCCTCCTTTGTGAGGGACAGAACAGCATCTTAGGAACGAGTATGGGAATGTCATGCCATGTAAGAACAGAATGACCACAGCCACCTTGCAGAATGAAATATTTGCAAGATGGATTAAGAGGAGTCTTTGGAACCAATGTGATATTTAATAATCTTAACTCTTTATCGATAACTATCAGTCAGAGTGATAATCCTGGGACTGCCATCAGCACTGACACTCCTCCTATGTAATCATGTGAGACTAGTTTGTGGTCAGTGCTTTGATGCTGAGTGTACCTCATGTTCTCATTCATCCACTCACTCATTAGAAAGTACAGTGTTTTTTTTAACAGTCTATAGTCCAATAGGCTCCTAAACTTTATTGCATATAGATTAGGGAAGGCAAGAATGAGCAGGTTGTAAATGGGGCAGCTGAGCAGAGAAGCAAAAGAGAAAAAAATGTCTGAAGCACCCAGCTTTAGTTCTGAAAAGTGCACCTTCATATTTCCTGAAATATTATGAAGACTTAGATCACAGAAACACCTGGACATTGACCCAGAAAGCAGTGCCAAAAGTCAGCTCTAATTTTGGAACATGAGCCTGTAACTAGAGGATGCTCCCACGGCACACTGGCACTAATGGTGAGTAGCCTCCTCGCTCCTACAGCTGAGATCCAGTCTGTGCACTTGACTGCCAGCAGGCCCTGCCTCTTGCTCTAGGATTTCCCTACTGCTGTCTTGACGTCTTCACCCCACTTCTTTAATATGATAGTTTATCATCTGAGATTCTCAAAACTCCCCCACATTCTGCAGCTACAACCCCGGGAAAGGGCTGAAAGAGAAACGGGCCTTTGCTCCCGTCTGCATGTGGCTTTAATTTTTTTTCCAGAAGGTTTTGTTTGTGAACTTATGAACTGTGAGCATCTGGGCTGATGGCCCAAGGAAATAGCTTATCATTAATCTATACGATGAGTATCTCCAAGTCAATTGCTTTCTCTCTGATCCCTGTCCATGCAACTGGCAAGAATGTGTGTGCTATCAGCATTCCATGCAAGGGAAGGGAAGCTGAGGGTAGAGGCAGAAAGCGGCAACATTTTTTTCATCAATGAATCTAGTTCCCTCATCTAAAGAAGTCAATAACTTAAAATCAAATATCAAGGTAAAACGAATTACCGAACAGCTTCTGTACACCTCACTCCCCTATCCAGTCATGGCAGGTCTCCTGCTTTCCTTGTCTCTCTTTTTTTTTGGTTGTTTTGTTTTGTTCTTTCTTTTTTTATTTACTCACAAGGTTGGCTTTTTTTCCAGTTTGAGATTCCAGGTCTAAGGATTTCATCTTTCGCTACATGTTCACTTAGAATTTCCCTCCCCATAAAATGATTGACAACTGCTGGTTTCCACTACTCTGATCACTGCCCTTCACTGCCCTCCTCCTCTATCACAGGTCCCTTGATTGTCACAGGAACATGTGAGATCGCTGGAAAATCAAATCAAGATTAAAAATGTTCCCTGAGAAGTAAACAGAGCTTAAAAGTAAGATATTCACATCAGAAAGGGAGCCGGTGGACAATTTGAATCTCAATGTCTTTTCCAAGTTTGTAGCATATTTAATGTGTAAAGTGTTTTACAGTTCATTTGGAAGGTGGTGAGGGCATCAATGAAGGACCCAAAAGAAACCCAAATAACGTTGGATATTAGGGACAGCCTCTCCACTAACATCATGATGATGTCCATTTCATACAACGAACCTTCCTGACACAAAGAGATTTGTGCTCACGGCAAGGAGCCATGTAATTCAGTCATTTATATGTTGAAAACTGTCCAGTTGCGGGGGAGATGGGGTAAGAGGATAACATCTGAAACATAAATAAAATATCCAATAAAAAATGCCCAGTTAGAGTGCAATGTACATTCAGGCATTGTCATATATGCATGGTAGCTGCTAAGTACAGGCTAAGCCAACACTGCCTCTCTTAGTTACAAAGCGCAACACTAAAGTATTCAAGAGTAATATGGTCTCTGGCTACCTATTTTGTATTGTTGACTCTACCAGATAAGGATCGATGCTGGGTTCAAAATTCAGAGATTAAAATCCTTGCTAACAAAAGCACCTGTCAGGTAAACTCTCTCCTAAGGCCTGGCTCAGGTATTTCTGGTCTGGTCCTCATCAAAGTTCAATTCATACCCGGGGTGGGACAGTGTCTGTCATTGCTGCATCCTTCCTGGTGTCCTGCACTTTGGGAAATACTTGTTCTAATTAGTAGCCACTTAGAAATTACCTTCCGTTAAGCAGGTCATAATTTCAGAGTTCCAGAGGAGATGGAAATTTAAATTATGTTTCAAACTGAGGGGCAACTGCACCTGAAAGCAATGGCTACATCTCCCTTCCTGGCTCCCAGGTACACGGCCTGCTTCCAGCTACAGTACTTATAACACAAGTTGATCTGAACTTGTCACTGTGCGTCAGGTGTCTCAATATCATAACGAAAAGGTCTGTTGTTTGTGTTTTTGTAGAATGGCAGTTTGACAACGCCTACATCAGAAGTTCTCCACCTGTGGGTCATGACCCCTTTGGGGGAGGGTTGAATGGCCCTTCTTAGGAATCTCCTAAGACCAACAGAAAATACAGATATTTACATTATGATTCATAACAGAGCAAAATTATGGTTATGAAATAGCAACTAAAATAAATTTATGGTTGAGGATCACCACAACATTAGGGACTGTAATAAAGCCTTAGGAAGGATGGGAATCACTGTTCTACGTGAATGAATTCACCAGGGAACGCACCTGGCCATGCCTGAATGCTCAGAGAGACAGAAAGACAGGCAAAGCCAGACAATTTGCATGCTCAAATGCTTTTATCTGAATGCTGTTTCAGGGTCAAAAGAATCAGAGACTCAAGATAAAAGCTTGGAAGGTTGTTACATTTGTCCCTGGGAGTTAATACAAAAGTGTCTTTATTTCATCGAATGAATCATTGGACTTTTCTGAGAAAGCCACCTTGCCTGCACTGCCTCAGGCTTTGGGAATCTCTCCATGGTGCTGGGAGACTTGATTCCACAGTAATCCACCGGTAAAGCGCGTTTCATAGGAGAAGCAAGCTAGGTAGAAATGGGACAGGATGGAGTAAAGTGCCCTATGCTCTTGTTCCATCAGGAGCTTTCCACTCTCTGTCCACCCTTGGAATCTCATCTTAATTCCCAAAGCAGTGACCCTGTGAGCACCATCCCTCCATCTCTGTCCATCTTCTCCTCAAACAGCACAACCAAATCGCAACTTACAGACAGTGGGGCAGAGGTAAAACATGTCTTCTTTTCTTTCCTTTTGACCCTTGGGTTCTATTTTATGTGTACTTTGCCCACAGACCAAAAGGTAGGTATGGGGAAGGGGAGAGAAGCTGAGAACAGAATCATGGAACCAGACCAAAGGCTCCGGAGCCCCATGGGCTGCAGCCAATCACATCTGACATTTCAGCTGGACTAACTTAGCACTCTCACCTAAAAGAGCCAACTCAGGCCCCTGTGCCCAAAGGCCGAGTAAGCCTCTTGGTCTGGTCAGGTCCAGCAGGGAGAGGCAGAGGTTCAAGGCAAATGGCCGTGGTTGCTGGGAGCTCCTCTGCAGCAGCCCAGGCCTGCCAGGTTAGGGCTTTCCTGGGAGGAGGGCTTGGGTTGTTCTCATTATGTATCCTAATAGGTCAGCTTGGTGGAGAGGCTTCCCACAGGACTAAGTGGTATAAATCCAAAGGGAAAGAAAGGACCTTTCTCCCAAGGAATTCTCAGTCTCAGGCTCCTGCTCGAGGCTGTTGTCTCCAGGTCCTTCCTCCGCACCCAGAAATGCCAAACCACTTAGATCATGCTTCTGGGGAGAGTGAGCAGAGGGGCTGGGCTCTAAGTACTTGCTGAAATCCCATTTACCAACCAGGCAAGTCTCTTCTTTCAACTTTTTCATCTGCAATTCAAAGGATCCCTGATTAAGAGACTGTGGGGAGGGGCAAGTTGTGCTGGACAGTGTCTCATGTGTAACAGCTGGAGAGTACTAGCACCCTCCCCTTCCCTTCCCTTCCCTTCCCTTCCCTTCCCTTCCCTTCCCTTCCCTTCCCTTCCCTTCCCTTCCCTTCCCTTCCCTTCCCTTCCCTTCCCTTCCCTTCCCTTCCCTTCCCTTCCCTTCCCTTCCCTTCCCTTCCCTTCCCTTCCCTTCCCTTCCCTTCCCTCCTCTCTCCCTCCCTCCCCTTCCCTCCTCCTCTCCTCTTCCCATTCCCTATGACGAAAATACAATATTTTGTCAAAATGGGGACTCCATTCATTTTCATTAGAATAATATAACAATGAAATCCATCACTCTATACACTAACCCAAAAAAGTTAATCACGAAATGTGGTCCCCGATTAGATTTTTTTTTCTTGAGTACCCATTCGATTAAAGGTGGCTTCAATGTAGTCCAACTGGTGTCAGCTCATGACTCTGAGTACCATTCAAGAACTGCACTGTGGGCTTAAAAACAAGGCATGTTTTATTTATAATGGGATATAAGGTTACATATTAGTAAGTTCACAGTAGCGATTTGTTTGTTTTTCTGATGTAACAAGATCCATAAAGAGCAAACATTACCCAGAAATACATTATGCTGCATTATAATCGTAGGGTCTCTGCTGCAGGGCTCTCTAAATGATCATAGAGACATTCCTGTCAATTTTAATAACTAATCATTGGTTGTTTCTTTTAAAGGTTGCATTAAATTAGTGCACGGGAGGCTTCCAGGGTAGTGAATTTGAACAGTAAACACCCCCTCCCCCCAAGTTTGCCCTTTTTCAGTCTTGTTTCTTGCTGTTTGTAGGTCTTAGAGATCCCGATGCAAGAAAGAAATTAATGGGTGCCTACAAGGTGACAACAGGCACCTACAGACAGGTCTTCGTGGAGAAGCCAGTATAAGGAGTAAAGGAGCCAACTCTGAGGAACGGTCTTGAACAGAGAAGTAGAGTCACAGGCTCAGCCATACACACATGTACAAACGAGACACACAACGACCTGTCACTGGTCACATGGATGTTATGACTGTCAGCATGCAAACATGGCAACACACAGTCAGAGAAATTCAGGTGGGAAAAAGTTCTCCCTTTCCCTGATTTGCATTTACCTGTAGGGAGTCTTTCGCGGCAGGGCCATGGCTGGCGGGCAAACCAGGGTCTCCACTCTGTTGGTTCACAGGATCAATGATTGTCAGTGGGGAGGGTGGGTGATTAATTTCCATGAGTCCAGTATGTTGGTAGGAACTCACAAGACAGAGCTGTGTGCTGGATAGTTTTATGTCAATGTGACACAAGCTACAGTTAGAGAGGAGGGAACTCCAATTAAGAAAACGCCTTTGTAAGATTGGTCTGTAGGTAGGCCTATAAGGCATTTTCTTAATTAGTAATCAATGGAGGAGGTCCCAGCCCACTGTGGATAGGACTATCCCTGGGCTTTTGGTCCTGGGACTATAAGGGAGCAGACCGAGCAAGCCTTGAGAAGCAAGCCAGTAAGCAGCACTCCTCCATGTTCCTGCCTCCAGCTCCTGCCTCCAGGTTCCTACCCTACTTAAGTTCTTGTCCTGACTTTCTTGATGATTAACTCTGATGTGGCAGCATAAGCCAAATAAATCCGTTGCTTTGGTCATGGTGTTTCATCACAGCAATAGTGTCTCTGACTAAAGCAAGCTATTGCATTTAATACATGCACTCCAGAATATGACACAGAAACTAGAACTGGTCACCACCACCTCTGACTCAAAGGATGGCAAGGGTGAGTACCCTAAGGCTTTCTAAGACTCACCTGCATGGCCAGACTCCCCATTCATTAGAAAGCCCTATATTCCTAACAGTGAATTGTGATGAGGCAAACATACCCAGGCCACTGACTTCACACTCTCTGCTGTAAAGAATCTGTCTTCTTGCAGATCTCAAAAGGAAGGGTTAGAGGAAGGGAGGGAGGTGATAAATGACTGCTAAGCATTTTCTCTGGGGCTTACTTTGTGAACTTTAGCTAAAACCTTTTTGACTCCATGGATAACCTAAGGATGTGTGAACCTTATAACCTTAAACTCTACTCTAGCTCCCATGGTGCAGACTTCTTGCACATTCAATTTGAGGACTATTAAAGATTGCTTTTTTTTTTTAAAGCACACACTTCTGAACAAAAGTTGTCTACTTTTGTAGATAATGAAAATCACCAGGGGGAAGACAGCAATCTCAGACCTACACTCTTCACTGAGTTCTTTCACAGTTAATGTTAGAATTTTAATAACTTAGGTTGTAAGTTATGGGGGAAAAATCTATAAACATTTAAGGTAATGGAATCCCGTGTCCTCTAATAGGATCATGCATCCTACTAGCCTTGGGGAGCAATTTACATCCTTTAAAAAGAGTAGGTTATGAGGGTTGCAGAAATGAAATAACAATTTATTGTCTTCAGTTGTGTGATGCAGCTCTCTGCGACTTCGCATTTCTTCTGCAGACTCTCCGCCACACCGTTTCCACTTTGAAAAGAGCTGGTAAAATGCTGGGAGCACAAAGACTTCCAAGGATCCTGCTTTTAATTTTTGTTTTTTTGTTTCAGAAATCGATGCAAACTTAAGCGTTTTGGGAAAAAAATCGATATTCAATTTACAACCAAAACAATAATTTCAGGAAGTCTGAAGTTCTATGCAAAGTAGATGGAGAAGGGTCAGGAGGGAAAATAAATTAATCTCTTAATTTAAACCTTTCTTTGCCTTGCTGGGAATGTACATACCAACACATGACTCCAATTTAACCCCTTGGAGACCCATAATTTAAGCCAGGGTTGGAAGCACAGTATTATAAATGCCGCTGAGTAGGGTTTCCTTAACTCTACATTATACACATCCATGGCACTTAACAACCACATGGTATTCACAGCAGAGCCGCTATGCTGTGACTTTACCCTCCACACATAGTTAGACTCTCACAGACTGCCCACCCCTTACCTTAGCTCCTAAAATATTTCCTGAGAAAGACATCCTGAGGAACTTCCAGTAGAAGGGACCTAAAGCGGAAAACTAAGACCAAAGCACCCAATTACAATGTTTGAGTGTCTCAAACAGAGCCACACTGTTAACATGGGACATCCTGGCTCTGTGTCTTGTCTACGGGTTTCTCCTTCTCTAGTACATCTTTCTGAGCGAGATTCTCTTGCTTCTCTAGTACATCTTTCTGAGCGAGATTCTCTTGCTTCTCTAGTACATCTTTCTGAGCGAGATTCTCTTGCTTCTCTAGTACATCTTTCTGAGCGAGTTCTTCTTCCTTCTCTAGCACGTCTTTCTGAGCAAGTTTCTCTTCCTTCTCTTCTCTAGTACATCTTTCTGAGCTAAAAGTTACTGAACAAAGAATAACATTGGCTTTTCTAAGTACAGGTGTATCACAAATATTCCATGCCAATTTGGTTTTTTGTTTGTTTGTTTTTTTTAATGACAGACAAAATCTTGTGCTTCATGGAGTGCGTAAACAGAAAGGGTACATGTATACAGGCACAGAGACGACGCCAGCCTTCTCCTTTCCTAAAATGAGATCCCTGAAGCCAAGAAAGAAAAGAGGACTTGGTGGAGCATTGCTTCAGGTTTAGGCAAGCAGAGACCAGGATAGCTCACTGCAAGGTGTCAGGAAATGGCTCCTTGGGCACACCTCTGCACAGGGCTCTGCCAGGAGGCAGCTATGTCTACAAATGGGACATCAAGGGGATAGTCCTCTGAAACCAGCTACAACATGCTGACAGAAGGAGACTTCTGGACTGCACCGCTGACTTCCCTACTCTCCTTTCCCCAGCTCTGCAGCACTCTTCTCCTCTCTCTTCCTGACCAATAATTAAGGGTAATTTATACAGCAAGGGCAGAGCAACCATTTTCCCTGCGGTAAGTTGCACAGTGGTGGTGGTCACAAACCACAGGGATGGGACAGCAGTAGTTGCCAGGGTGGTGGGCATTGTTTGGTTTCCCGTGGCAGGATAGCTTGGCACATGAGCTTTGTGAATATTTGTCTCCCTGGGAAATTGGATGGCTACAAGGAGCACCTGCCAACTGGGAGTCACAGTGTTGGTCTCTCCTGGTTTGTGTGGAGGACTGGGTGGATGGATTCTTGCTGCAGCCTAAAGGAGGTGCTGCAGCTGAATGGATCCCCAGGGTCATATCCTACTTCTCCAGAGAAAGACTGTGGGAGGGGCTGTGCAAAGAGCTTGTGGGTACACTTGGAAAGCCAAGTCCCTGTCAGCTCTGGAGCGCCACGCTAGCCTGGCCAGGGCTGCCCACCAGGTGCAGCTGTGGTCCAGATGCTCAGGAGAGTGGCCACTAGAGTAAAGCCCAGGTAGGCAATCCCAGGGCTAGGGAAGGGCTACCTGCCTCGGGCCAACATAGGAGCAGGGCCAGAAACAGGGCAGATAGGCTCTCTCTCTCTGGGAAATGGAAAGCCAATCACTTAACAGCTGCAAACCGGCAGTGTGCATTTTCTGTTTGGTTCTTTCTCTTCACAACATAAGGCAACAAAAAAAACAAAGACTCAGGCGAGTGGACATTTCCTGGACTGCCCACCACTCCCCAGGGTGGTGTGGTGATGTGTATAATTACATATACAAACACATATTTGGGTGTGTAGTGTCTGATTTCCTGAAGCAGAATAAAGTGAGTCCCCCTAGAACCAATGAGGGGGTCGACCAGAAGTACAGGCGGGTGTGGTACTGGGCCACAGGCAGGGACCAGTTGTAAGGCAAGGCTCCCGAGGACACAGCAGTTACACTTTGGTTTACAGCTGTCACAGAAACTCCAGGGAACAGCTTCTTCAGAAGTCCTATCTATCAAAGTCAGATGCCACCAGTCGCTTGTCAGGGTGGACATCTCCTGCTTCCTTCCAAATAAAGTGCAGATGGTCGAAGGATACTGGTCTATCCTCTGCCAGTCTGAGTCAGCATTGAAGAATTAAAAAAAAAATCTTTATAAAAGAACTTCCCCCTGGACATATATATATATCTATTTATATATTCTTCTTTTGTTTTTCATAAAGCAACAAGTATAGAAATTTTAGACTGATGTCTCTGACTGTAAGCGAAGAACAAACTTATGAGATTTGGGGTCTATGAACTCTTCTGAGAGTACAATGAATGGGATTTTCTTCACATTGACCACGAGGCTGAAGTCCAAACATTTAAGGACGAAAACAATTCCATCCCGTAACCCGTTCGTCACAGCCTCGTCACTAATAAGTCTCCACTGTGTCGAGAGCCATCGATCCTTGTCATACTGCAAGGTGGGGCCTGCACTGAGGTATCGTTCAAGGAAAGCCTGAAAGCCAAGGAAGAACATTGGAGAAGTTACAATGTTTTTTTCAAAGTTCCTGTGCTTTGTGGCAAGGCACCATCTTTTTTATCCCTAGGAAATGTTACCCAACTACACTGATACCTTAGACTAGAGTTCAGCTTCTCATGCTGAAGCCCCATGAGACCCTCTCTGGGAAAGGAAGACTCCTTGGATTTCCAAATTCTCTTTTGGCAATTTACAAGCAGAGAGTGAGGTGAGGGAAGTAGATTGGCTACCACTGTTGATGTAACATGTCACCTGAAAACACAGGCACCTCCCCCCACAAAAGTCAAAAAGCCCCAAGGGCAGGCTGAGTGCCTGGAACAGGAGTTGTCAATGAATCCAAGGTAGACAGACAAGGAAAAACACACAGACAGAACTGCATGCTCTATCATCTCCTGGCTGAGTGACTTTGCTCAGTCATTTGCCCTTTCTCCGGGCAGAGATGACACAACCTTGCTCATGAGTTGGCCAGGTTCAGTGAACACAAAGCACTCACAGTAGGCACACAGTGAGTGCTGTCTGTCTTCTGCAGAACTGATGCGTGTGTGGCCAGTGCTAGGGATGTCCAGACCCATGTCCCCTCTCCTGAGCCCTTGCTCCAGGGACACCAAGGAAACTGAAGTTCTGTGATTTCACTACATCCTTATGTGCCATTCCTCCTGCTGAGAGCTGTCTCACAAGTTCTTCCTTTCCCTTCACATCTTAAACTATCTCCTTGAAGCACTCAGATGGATCAACATATTCTTCTGCCAGAGCTCCTGAAATCACTGGCGATGACGTCACGTCATAGTTCACTTCCTGAACTACGCTGACTTGCTGTCTCCTCCCCACAAGGCTTCAAATTCACAGAAGATAAGAACTATGTCATCACCATCTTCTCCCTTTTAAAGTGTGACTTTCTAATGTATTCTGGCATAGAATTAAATCCATAAATCGGTTTAGTTGAGAGAAAGAATGAACCGATAATGTAAGTTGAAGACTACTGGCATGTATCCATTTGGTCCTAGGCCGAGGTCAGGACCTTCTCGCTTTTTAAGCAATCCTCTTTCATAACTCCTCCACTCTGCCTGCCAGTGTAACCATGGTGATAGGCACACGAAGAAGGTGCGGCTGTGCTCCAGTGAAATCAGAGTCACAGAAACAGCCAACCCCTGGCTTTAACCCGTGAAACTTAATTCAAATGTGCATCAACAGACAAGTGGTACAGCAAATCTACATATCTGGTGGAATCAGGAGCAGCTATTCACAGTGGAAGCTATTTGAGTCAGATCTGTGTGCATGGAATGAAAGATCCAAGAAGCCTTGAGTGAAGAAAGCAGCTGTCCAAAATGCAGGTGTGTCTAGTATCAAAGCATCTCTGCCTTAAAAACATAGTCGCAGCTGAGAGAACACACATCAGGCAGAACTGTAAGGAGTGGGGGATGGGAGGTCATAGTGGGTTTTTTGGGGGGGGGTCTAATTACTTTGTTTACTTTCTCTCCTTGTGTGTGTGTGTGTGTGTGTGTGTGTGTGTGTGCGTGCGTGCATGCGTGCATGCATGCATATGCATGCCATGGCTGTGTGTGGCTGGAAAACAACTTTCAGGAGTCAGTTCTCTCCTTCCAGCATGTAGTTCTGGGACTTGAACTCAGGCTTGGGGGCAAGCATCTTTTTCCAAAGAGCCATCTCACCAGCTCTAGTTTTGTTTTTGTTTTTGTTCTTGTTTGATTGGTTGTTTTTTTGCTTCTGAGAAGGTTTCTGCTAGGTAGCACAAGTTGGACTAGAACTCACTATATAGCCCAGGTAGCCTTGAATCCATCTGTCCCTTCTCTTTGCCAGAAGCTATTACTCTGCACAAAGGTACATAGTTTTCTATTTGCAACCTGTTGTATTTGGACTTTTGTAACTAAATATTCAAGTTTTCACTCACATTTCAACAGATGATATACCATAGCATGCTAGACATGCTAGCATTTGTAAATGATTTCCTGTTCAAAGTTACATAGAATACTATTCTGGGGGTGGACATCCCACATTTAATGTAGAGTTGTGTGTACAGATCTTAATTGAAAAGCTGATTCTGGGATGCCCCTCATAATACCATAATCTGATGTTCAAGTCTCTCATATAACCTGGTTCAACATTTGTATGTAAATTGCAGATACCTTTGTACTTTAGAATGTATAATCTCCAGGTGGCTGACAACACCTACTACACCGAGATGCTCAGAAGCTGTTACACTGTGCTATTTAGGGGACAGTAACAGGAAAGTGTGTACACGCTCACTGTGACAGGTAAGCATGTGTACTCAGTGTGACAGGCAAGCACTTATACACCCTTAGTGTGACAGGAGTACATGTTTACACGCTCAGTGCAGAGGTACAGGTTTCCATCCATGGCTGGCAGGCTCCACAGACAAGGATCCCGTGGCTACTGAGCTGACTATGGAAATGCCTGTGCTGGATATTTTCCTGGGTCAGAGACTACTGAGTCAGAGAAACAGAAAGCCTTACAGTGTCTCATTGGCTATTCCTGCATGGCTTTCCCAAGCTGGTAGTATGGACATCTGTGGGAGGTGTAAGAGTAAGATGTCCTTACAACAAAGAATGATGAGATGTCACCTGTGCATCAATGCCAGGGTCATCCACGCTTCAATGTGATTTACATGTTCTATAGCCTTCCTTATCATCATCTCTCACACAACAACTCTGTCAGGCAGATATCCCTGCTTTATACGGGAGGGATCAAGTATAGAAAAACTTGTGCACAGCTACAAACCGACTGAGTGGTCGGGCAAGAATCTGAAGCCACCATGATATCTGCTAGATCCACCCTTTCCCTTTAACAGAGGCCCCAGTCCTCTATTAAATAACATTGAGGATTACAATATCTATCCCTTACAGTGTACTAATGCCACGATCCAAAAGACGGCGCTATAAAAACAAAGTCTACAACATCTAAAGTGGTGGCATCATTTCTACCAAAAAGCCGATAGCTGCTTAGTCAGACTTTATCAAATGATAGGTATGACTTTATCACATGAATTAAAATGAGGTATGAAGAACATTCTCAGTTCACTGGTCAGGAAACTGAGGCACAGTACCAGAAGCTGTTTGCCCAAGGTTGTACAGCCAGACAGCTGATGGACGACCTAGGTTAAAATGGGTCAGTTTAGCATGTACTCAGCCTGCACATACTTTCCTGTCACACTGAGCAGATGTACCTGCTTCACTGTTACACTGGGCATGGACACATGCTTTCTTGTCACACTGAGCATGGACACACTGTCCTGCCCATCCCCTCCACTACTCTGTACAGGTTCAAGATGGAATTTTTTTCCCTCTGTTATAGAATCTAGAAGCCTTCAAAACATGGATTTAAAAAACAATTGTTGTGGGCTGGGGAGCTGGCTCAGTGGCTACAGTGCTTGCTGTACAGTGCTTGAGGATCTGTGTTCAGATTCTTAGGACCCCCTCATGTGCAGTGCTGGAGAGGAAGCGAGAGGAGGATCCCGGGGGCTCACTGGCCACCCAGTCTAGCAGGATCATCAAGTTCCATGTTCAGTAAGAGACCCCGTGTTAAAAAATAAGGTGGATGGGCTGGAAAGGTGGCTCATTATTTACAGAGACTATATTGCTCTTCCAGAGGACCCAAGTTAGGTTCCTTCTGCCCATATCAGGAGACTTACAGTCACCTGTAACTCTAGCTCCAGGGGACCTACTGCTGTCTTCTGGCCTTTGCAGGGGGCATCCAAACACACATAAGAGATGCTCACACAGAAACACATGAGTACATATACATCAAAATAAAAAGTAAGTCTTAAATGATGCGTTGAGCAACAGTGGAGACACAGGATGTCATGTGACCGGCCAAATCTGTCTGCCCCAACCCCGACCCCAGCAGCGCACCTTGGGGGTCATGCTGTTGGTGATGCAGAAGGCCAGGTGCTGCAGGATGCTCTCCATGCTGTGGTAGTGCTGCTGCCGTGTGGTACGCAGGTACTTCTGCAGTGCCCTGGCCATGGAGGGGAAGATGGCCTGGGCTGCCTCTCTGGGGTCCATCACCTCCCCAGGAGATTTCTGCTGCTCCTCAGCCTGGAGACGCTGGATGTGGATGAAGGCTTCCTCCACAGCCACCACTAGTCTGGAAGGAGATTTGGGACAGTCAGCAAGGCAGTGTCCACTGAGGGCCTTTGTTCACTGTGGCACCCTGGCCTACCACCAACTTCCCCAGGTTCTGTCATACTGTATCCCTCCAGAGAGCCTGGGGGAAAGAAAAGCAACAGCAGAGATGGGAGTGGGTGGGTGATGTCCCTGGGCCTCCCAATCCTGCCAATAATGAGCCCAGAAAGCTCACTTTAACCTGTGCTTTGATGTCTCCAAATAAAAGGTGAGTTAAAAAAGACTTCTGCTCACATTCCATCTGGAAAGAGAAAGCAAGCGTGCAGACACAGCTGCTAAAGAGCCAGAGCTTGGTGGAGCGTTAGTTAGCAGAGGCCTTGCCTATCACCACAAAGACCTGGGACGAATCCCCAGGACCACACGCGCATGCCTGTGTCCCAGCACTCAGGAGGTGGAGGCCGCACATGAAGCCAGGCTGACAAAAGGGCTCAGGGTAAAGGCGATTGTGGCCAAGCCTGACAACCTGCATCTGACCCCGGAAGTCATGTGGTAGAGGAAAAAGAACCAATCCCCCAAAATCATGGTCTCTACATGTTCACTGTGGCGTATGTACATGTACACATACATGTATACACACACACACACACACACACACACACACAGATGTTTAAAAAAAGGTTTTTTAAAAAGAAGTTCAACATTGTCCTCAGCTATACAGAGGGTTTAAGGCCTGGTTGGACAAAAAAAAAAAAAGGAAAAAAGAGAGAAAGAAAGAAAGGAAGAAAAGAAGAAAGGAAGGAAGGAAGGAAGGAAGGAAGGAAGGAAGGAAGGAAGAGAGAGAGAGAGAGAAAGAGCTTCAGCCTCCTTGTTCCACTTCTCCCCACCCCTCCCCCCAGCAACTCAGGAATGGGAAGAATGAGGTGGTAGGTTTAAGGGAAGCCACCTTTGTCACCTTCAGTTCACTGGGAAACAGTGTGGGTGGGGCTGGCCCCCTCTAAGGGCAGCAACAGAAAACCTCTGGAAATCTGCTCTAAATGCAGATTCCCAGGCCCCGGCTCAGACCGTGAGGTAAGCTTTGTGAGTGGGCCCAGCACCTGTGATGGGTGTTCAGAGGTATGTCTGATGGTGATTACACATAAACTCTGAGAAACCTGAGAGTAAAGTGGACTGTAAACAGTCGGATAGGTCGTGCATACAAACAGAACATTAATGCTGGAAGTTAAAAAAATAAAAAGCGAAAATAAAATGTTCAATGGGAGGAGGGCCCAGGCGTGCAGGGGTCACAAACCTTGCTCTCCGCTTCTTCACCCTCCGTTCGTGTTCAGCCTCTTCATAATACAACTCGTTGTGGCTGGAGTCCCTGCGCCGAGCGGCTGCGGCAATCATGGCTCGGGACTGACCGGTGGCATTGTTACTGGGCCCTTTGATGAAAGGAGAATGGTAGATAGTTTTAACCACAAACACCAGGAAACGGGACAGAGAACCAGCACCAGGGTCTGTGGTCTGCTGTTACTCTCCTACCCACCCCACTACGGAGTACAGGGAGATCCTAAAAGTAACTTCCTGGGCCTGCGCAGTACTCTCCACATTCACAGCAGCCAGGAGACCTAACCCCAGTCTGACGCGGAAATGGAAAAAGAACTCTGAAAGGGCTGCAGACTGCTCATCCCTGAAAACGCTGGCCAAAACCAACACCCGCTGGAGCGTGCCGAAGAGGTCACTTACCATCTGCTACACAAAGTTTCAGTTTGGCCATAAGGGCAGCTGGGACATCGCATGCAGCGGACAATGAGAGAGAATGGGCAGGGTGGGAGAACAAGGACAGACAGAGAAAAGAAAGACGTCAAGGGACACTTAACAGTGATCACACACAAGAACACAAGCTAAGCCGGGGGCTATCGCCCCAAACACCGAAGCCCAGCAACCTCAACGCGCCCCATGTGTGAAGCGACTTAGAAGTCCTGTGTCACCCTGAGCATGGACTTAGCTTATCACAAAGACACAGGCAGGACCTAATGCTTTCTTCTAGGTGACTTGGAGAGCTAAGTTTTCCCGTCAAGGGTGAGGCTTACCAGTCAAATTAAAAAAAAATTAGACCCAATACCATTACCAAAAACTGATACCTACATAAACCGGCTGACTTGTTGACAACATGAATCTCTTCGGGAGTCTGCAAAGCCCTTGTCTTAGCCCAGGTGCTCAGCAGGACGTGACAGGGAGTCCTGTTTCTCACACTTGAGCACCTGACACCATGAATGAAACTGGGCTCTGACTTGGTGAGTCTGGCTCCCACTTCAGATTGTCATTCAACTCCTGCTCCTCTTAACATTTCTCGGCCTAATGCCCTCTGAGAGAGAGAGAGAGAGCATCCTCATTTAATGGGTAAACTGTTCAGATCAAACTCTCCAAATATGTAGACCATAAACTGGCATCCCCCTGGGAAACATGTTCATCTACATTTAAACTAAAAATAGAAGTTGTTCTGAAGTGAGAAAAGACCATAAGGCAAGCACAGAGCACAGGTAGAAGCACTATGAGGTTTAAGCCACACAGAGCCACCTGACTGTGGCCCCACGCCCCACAGATGTTTCAAGCACATACCATCTACATTGTAGACTTTCAGGCCAGCCATGTGCTTGGCTGCTCGGAATTTGGATGCTGTTAGGAGGTTCGGGTTATAGATCGTGAAGTCCTTGTAGTAATTTTCCAGGACCACCAAGGCTGCTCGCTGGATGCTGTGAAAAGGGGCAAAAATGAGTGAGGGGTTTTCACAGAATACAGTGTGGCTCAAATGAGAAGTCTTTTTGAGTCAGGTCAATGGCAAGTCAAGGTAGCCCTCCCAGGGAAATCTGCTGACTCCTGCACTCCCCAAGGCTCCCACTGTTATGGCTTCCTCCCCTCTCCAAGGCTCTGGCATTCCCAATATCCCAGCCAATCAGTAGCTGGAAGAGGAGAATGCTATAACCTATAACTGAGATTTAGGTTTGGGGTACACAGAGCTTTTCCTGTTTGTCCTTAGTTTACAAAAAAGAAGACGAGGAGGAGGAGGAGGGGAGGGGGAGAAAGAGGAAGGAAGGAAGGAAGGGAGGGAGGGAGGGAGGGAGGGAGGGAGGGAGGGAGGGAGGGAGGGAGGGAGGGAGGAAATTGAGGAGCCCTCTCTCTGAAACGTAGGAGGTTTGATGATGACCATGAATGAGAGGTCAAAGTTTCTGAGGCCCCCATTCAGTGATTGGTTACACACACATACACATACACACATACACACACATACACACATACACACATACACACATACACATACAGAGAGAGAGAGAGAGAGAGAGAGAGAGAGAGAGAAAGAGAGAGAGAGAGAGAGAGAGAGAGAGAGAGAGAGAGAGAGAGAGAACCCTCTCCCAGGTCTAAGGAACTGGTCTCTTGTGTTACAGCAATGTCCTCCCTATGGGGCAGAGTTTTTCAAATGAGGTTTCAGCTAAGATATTCTGGGTCTTAAAATCCTCAGGAGCTCCTGCACTTCAGCTGCTGTCTTGGACACTCAGCAGATGATAGCTCCAAGCTACCATTTTGGAGCCCAGGCGATAAGACTCATACCCAAGGAGCATGCTGGGAGCTGAACAGAACACAGTGCCTCAGATGCAGAATCCCGGCTGTTTCAAAGATCAATCATCTGCAACACGCAAGGGCTTTCACTCCTCTCATCTTGTTTGACCTCCATGGTCACAAACATGGTACAGAAACTCACGAGCCACACAATGGCATGACATGTGCCATAGTCTGGCTAGAATTCTAGTGCAGATTGACAACCTAGATGCTGGCCCTTCACCCTGTGCTGTGTGTCCTGACATCTGCAGCTCCTGAAGCTGTTCACCAGCCATGCTGTACTAAATACCACAGCTCTGTTTTATCTTGCCCTTCTGAGTCTCTTTCCCAGCACTCTGCTAAGATAATGGGCTTATAAGGATTATTTACAATAGCCTGAACGCAAGGACAGGGACTGCCTTGGATTCCTGGAGGACTACGTGGCATCCCAGGGCTCTCACAGAGGCTCAGAGACCTTCACTCCTCACTGACTGAGTAACCCTTAGCCAGACAGCTGAAGCCCTGTACTGCCCCCACTCTCCAAGACTCCCTTTGCACTCCACTTTAAGAACTGAACACAGGGCTGGGGATGAGTCTCCAATGGCAGAGTATTCTCTGCACTATGTGAGAACCAAGCAGCCATTAGGACAGTGGGGAGTGCAAGACTAAGGTGGTCCTTGAGGTGAAGGGCTTCATTTTGATCTTAGTGTTGTTCTGAGTTCTGCTCAATGTACTTTCAATCTCTTCCTCGTCCTCTGCAGTGACCTTCTCCAGAGAGGGACAGCACATGCATCCTCGCACACATGCATCCCTCACACACATGCATTCTTGTACACATGCATTCCCGCACACATGCATCCCTCACACACATGCATCTCCGCACACATGCATCCCCGCACACATGCATCCCT